GTGCAACCACGCCACGAGCTAGACGGGTCTGTAATGTGCTGGCAGCACCTATGGAGCATACAGCATTGCTTTCCAACCCATGCTGGGAGATCCAGAAGGTATTTTTCTCTGTGTAGCCCCAGTTTCCTGCATTTTTGCTTCAGCTGGTCAGAAGCAAGGTAATATTTAGCCCCAACATTTACCTTTAAAATCACTTTAAATAAGAGAAGTGGGGCAGCAGTTCATAGCAGTATAACTGATGCTTGCAGGCAAGGCTGTGCCGCAGGGAAAGGAGCCTTTTCCCAGCCTTGCCCCTGCACGGCTGGCTCGGTCATGGATGGGTTTGCAAGCAGCAAAATGAGCTTTGCTGGGATGTCTGTCCGCACATCCATGCTGGAGGCGGCCGGCTGCAGGGAGGCTCAGGAGCAGGGGTGTAGGAGCGAGTGCTCCTCAGCCTCTCCAGCTCAAAGTCTCGCCACCCAGCGCTGACACCTCCACCAGCCGGGGCTGCAGACCGTGCTCTGGGGTCAGTAACTTCTGCGGGCTGGGATGGGGAGATGGGGTAACTTGTCCCCATCTCCTCCGTGGCATGTGTTGGGTTCCCCTCCTTCCTTGGCTCTTTGTTGACACGAGCCTGTGACAGGTTGGAGTCTCCTCGTTCTCCCCAGTGCTGTTTCAGGTTTGTCCCCTTGGATGTGGCTGCCGTGTGCCTCTAAAGCTGTGCTCGTCCTGGGCAGGGGAACCTGCCATGTCGGCAGCGTTAGAGCAGGCAGTGAGCGAGCCTGGCGGTGCACCAAGCACTGAAATCTCGCAGCTTCGGAGGGCAGAGACCTCTCGGGCTGCCCAGTCCACGGGGCTGGCATTCGTCACCCAGCCCTCTGGGTATCTCCAGCTTCAAAGGAGGGTTTGGGGGTGGTTTTACCCCACAGGGTTGGGATGGCTCTTGCACAATTTTGCTGCCCCACTGCTGCAGGACACTACTGTGTCCCCTCCCAGGCTTCGTTTTGCTAAATGGAACAAGTCAAATTCTTCTCATCCTCTCTTCTGCCAGGGACGGGGTGCCAGGAGCACCCATGGATGTCACTCGTGCCTCATGCTATGCCACGGTGACGTTTCCTGCACTTTGCAGAGGCTGGCCCCACTTCCTTGTACCGTTGGCTACGAGTGCAATACGAGCCGTGCCACACTGGAGCTCTGATGCAAGGCAGAGTCAACCATGGGCATGGGAAGGGGGTTAAGATGAGCGGGTGGTTGGGTTGGCTTGCTTGGACCAGGTCTCTGTGCGTGATGTTGGTTAGCCCTGTGCATTGATATTGTACATGGGTTGAAGTGGTTAGTGCTCAGTGTGCAGGTTTCACCCCCAAAGGGCAGCAACCCCAAATGCTGTGCTGGTGAAGTAGGGCCGTGGCAGCACAGCCACTCGCCCACTGTGCTGGAGGGAGGCTGGCGGCGGCTGCCTTCGGGCGTCCATGCCGGAGCAGGGCTGGCTGAGTCACTCCCAGCACCTTTCATCAGCAGCGAGCTCAGTGCGCCGGGTGAGTCAGCCCTTTCCAACCATTTAAAATGGGTTGGAGGAATCACACCCCACGAGTGCCTGTTCCTCCCCCCCGATGATGAAGGGACTCCAGATGAGAGCCTTGGCCGGAGACGTCTGCGGTGGGAACTCAGCTGGGCTGGGTCCAGGCCTGAGGTGCTTCACTGGTGTTACGAGGAATTAAACTTGAATCTCCCGGATCCCCAGCTAGGGCTTAGCCACAAAACCATTTCTCAGCCAGCTCTTGATTGCTCTCTGCACCTTGCTGAATCGCTCTGTGTCTGGAGGCGTTTTAGACTTGGGGAGGAGCAGAGCATCCGTCGCATCCTGGATGCCAGGGGAAACGGTGATGCTTCAAATACCGCTGGCCTCTAAGCACACTGAGGGGCTGAAACCTGGCCTGAGGCTTCTTGTTTTCCCGTTCACTTGTTAACGTTTGCAATTAGGACACTTTTAATTTTTGCTGCAGAAGATCCCACTGTGCAGTTAAATTGGTGTGACTGGAAACAAGGAGGTGGAAGGATGGGATATTAGGGATGTTGAGCTGCTTTCTGCAAAGCAATAGGTAGAAAACCAGCCCCCGTGTGTCTGCTGGAGCATGCCAGCGGGGTGGGAGCTGAGGTTTGCCGCTGCAGAGCTCTGAGGGCAGCCAGAGGCTTGTGGTCCCCATATGGCCCTTGCTGATGCTGCACCATCCCCGTCTCATCTGCTGCACTCCAGCTGTGGGCCAGGTAGGGGTTGCACTGCACAGTGCCGTAAAACCGCTTTAGAAGACCCTATAGGGGAAAATTAGTTATTTTAGGGGTGGTTTGTACCCAGCTGGATTCAAATTGCCCTCCTCGTGACGGTGCTGTGATGTGGACCGTACTGGGCTGGGCTGGGCTGGGCTGACTGCCTTCCACTGGTGTGAATCTGGCTCAACTTGAAGATCATCCTGGGGTCCTTTTCGAATTTATCCTAGCTGCGTGTATATATATGCCTTGTTCCTAATTTACACTGTGTAAATTATAATTTACACATATACATATGTGTATGCATATTGAATAGGGCCACGGACCCTGAGGTTCATGTGCACCTCTGGTTACAAAGGGAATCATGAGCTGCAGCGGTGGTGCACAGCTTGCTTTACCTGCCACAGGGGTAAACTTAAATCTCCCAAAATCTCCCAATGCATTGATAACACCTATCTGCAGAAAAAATATGTGGATATTCAAATCCCGCTTTGTTCTTCCTGCAAATGAGGAACCTCTGTTCCCTGGGAAGAGCAGAGCATCTCCATAGCAGTGGTCCACCTGGGTCAGAGTCCAGTTCCAGGGAAAGGACAGTGCCAGATGCTCCAGGGAGAAGGGCCAGATACCGTGGGGCACTCCCCAGAGAAGCCCCCCTCCCAAATTTCCCTAGGTCAAGGTTGACTTTGACCTGAAGTGGGAGAGTTGAAAACCCTTCCCAAGGCTCCTAGGTAATATATACAGTACTTTCTAGACCAGAGATCCTTTTCACCCATACCACATTTAGGAAGAACATTTCAAGAGCACTCCTGGCTTCCTTCGCATTGCCCATCGTTTGCTCTGCTGACGCTGCTGAGTGGATTTAGGTGAGCGTGAAGTGCTTTTGAACATCCCCCCTGAGCCAACAGGGATGTGGTGCTGGCTCAGAAGGGTTTTCCTTCCTCCTGAAGGACCAGCGTTGTGGAGGAGTGCGTTTTCCAGTGCTGTTCGTTAGATCATTTACTGCCAAAGCACCGTGGTTGATCTTGTTTTAAGAAAGAGAGAGACAGAAAGCAAATGCATCCTGAGAATGCAAAGTAATCTCATTTGGATGCTGAACACCTTGTGTAAATTCCCGAGCATGTGAAGTTAACTGTAGACGCAAGTTTGGGAAAGCGCCCAGTTTGCAGGGGAGAAAAGCTTTGGGCAGAATAAATATTTACCAAATCAACTGACTTTTTTCCTTTCTCCCTATTTGCATTACCTCCATGAGTAACCACATTGTAATGATGCTTTATGCACTGCTCTCTGCCGCAAAGGGATGGAGTTGACCAGGTTTTGGGCTTAAAACCCCTCTTGCTTTCAGGAGCTCTCTGCTGCGGTTACATCCATCAGTGTCTAGCAGGAGGGCTGATACCGGGGGAGCGTTTGGGAGCAGGGCTTGGTTGCAGAGAAACCCACAGACTGTGGCTTTCCCTTGCAGCCATGGACGTTGTGCCGCTGCTGGGGCTGTGGGTGCGGTGTCCCCAGGGACCCCTCCACAGCCCTTGCCTGGCATCGCAGCGGGCTGCGGTGTTTCTCCCTCCTGCCAGGATCAGTCCTACGCACACCGCTGGGTTTTAAGCTTTCCCTTTGGTTGCTCCATGACCACCTCTCTTGTCTGCCTTTCCCTTCCAGGTCCGAGAAGTGTAGTGTTTCTGAAAGCTGTGAACCAGGTGAGGAATAATTCGTTTTCTCTTGCAAAATAGTGATATTGGCGGGGAGCACTAGAGAAAGCTGCCTGCAGAGTAACTTGGACGTGTGGCACCAGTCACCTGGTTGCCCCACGGAGCAGTTCTCTCAGGATTTTGTCCCCGTTTGATAGATGCAGGGTCTTACCCTGTGACCCTCCAGTTGAGTCCCAAAAGCACATAAACTGAAATAACAAGACTTAAGCTTATGCTTAAATGCGATGCTAAGGGAATTCTTCAGTCTCGGAGTTCCCTTCTCCCTAAAAGTCGCCACGATTGGGTCACCAAGAAATCAGCAGTGTCGGTGCTCTGAGCACCGCAAATGAGAAGGAAATGCTTTTCCCCAGGTTTTCCCCAGGTTTAGGTGCTTGGACCCATTGAATCACCACCGAATAGGTGAAGCCCCGCTGTCCTGCCTGCCCAAGCTGCAAGCTGTGACTCAGCCCCTTGCAGTGAATCAGTCCCACCCTAAATGAGGAAATTTATCTGGAGATAAGAGGCAGCTGGGCTGAGCACCACATGCAGCATCCTCCCCGGGGCAGCCTCTGTGGGATGGCCAGGCCGGCGCAGGGGTTCAAACCACGCTGAATTTTGCCAGGGTTCAGCTGGTCGTGCCCTGGTGGGATGCAGCTGCGATCGGCCCTCCCAGAGCACGGGTCTGCAGGAGGCCTTGTCCCAAACATGAGTTTGGGAGCATTAAAGATGCCAGGAGTGCCCACTGGAGACAGCTCCTCCTGCATCCCCACCAACACTCGTTGGCGACCCAGTTTGGTTTAAGTGAAGAAAGCCAGGAAACAAGCACGTAACGAGGGCCAGCGGCTGGTTCAAGGGCACTGGCAGCTCCTGCCAGCGGAGCATGCAGATGCCATGCCCGCGGACATCCTTTGGGTACCTCCATGCCATGGGCTTGATGCTTATTGGCCACTTGGCTGAAGCCTCGTTGCTGCGGGATGCTCAGCTGGCGCTGAAGTCGCGGCCGGCCGTGGTTTCCCTGCCTGCATTGGTGGGCAAACATGGCATTGCTGGTTCCTGTTGGCGATTGCCTTTCGTTGCCTTTCCCCGGTAGGTACCTCAGGAGAGCTGGGTGGGATCAGGCAGATCAAAATCGAGCCGGACGAGCTGGACATCATCCAGATCACCGTGCCAGGTAGGCGCTGGGGTACCGGCTGCGTGCAGCGGCCTCTGCGCAGGCAGGGCTGCTGCGTGGCAGCTCGGCGTGTTGCTTTGAGAAGAGGCGGTTGTGGGGTATCTCCCAGCACAGAAGGTCCCCTGTGCCCTTGCACTGGTCTTTCTTCACCAAAGGTCATTTTAAGGGTCGTATTGGGAATCAGTGGGTTTCCTGGGGCTAGTGCAGGGTGTTTTAGGGCTTGCTCTTGTTTCTCTCTCTCTCCTTCATCGCTTTTCCATGTTGCCTTTCCCCTGGAGAAAGCGAGCCTGTTTTGCTGCTTTCCTTCACACGCGGGCTTGGAGGATCCCAGGTATCGAGCGCGGGATGCTTTTGATGAGGCCCTTAATTTAGAAGAACAGCCTGGTTATGAAGAGTTTGTGAGAACAGGTTTAATATTACGCACGTGCTGAAAACGTGTTGGAATCAGTGGCACTGATGCATTTCCCCACGTTTCTGCCCCGAGAGGTCGGTGGTGATGGAGACGAGCAGTTGGGTGCTTGAGGGGCAGCTGGGAGAGTCGTTTTCCAGTTACCTGACCTGGACAGCGCAGCAAATGGTAGGATGATCCTCTGGGTTTAATGAGTGGATAGTTAGCGCTTTGCATTTTCAGTGTGCTTTACAAACATTAATTAATAATCTCACCAGAATGAGGGCAGCAACAGGACTCCCAATGTGCCCGAGGGTGAGCGATGCAGAGGACAGCAGTGATGCCCGGCCCCACCGCGCCGGTGTGATCTCTGTTGCACCCAACAGTCCCCTTAATACAGTGATATCTATGGATTCACTCTAGGATTATCGTAGAATGGACTTAACGCACGGTTAATATAGGGGAAGCAGAAGGAACAAGGTATAGTGGTAGATCAAACATTTTAATTTTCAACTTGGCAGCTAATGGAAGAGAAGAAAGCTAATACGTGGCGAGCTGACGGTGCATGCGAAGAGGAGGAGGAGGTGTTATCGCTTCTTGGGTGCCGGGTGGATCACACTTCAAGTCCAGAGTCCCCCTTTTCTTACCTTATTTGAAGATCGAGTTCAGTCAGAAGGAGTACAGCTGAGGGCAAGGAGGAGGATTAGTAGAAAAGAGGTGTTCACCCACAGGGAGAAATTGATGAAATTTGGATTATTTATCCTGAGGTGATGATTAAGAAGTGACCTGATTGAAGTATTTAAACTAGCTGAATGTTTATTTAAAGCTAAATTTGGATAGCTCTTTGAGGGCGTTGGAGAGCCCAGCGTTAGGGGAGACAGGTTTAAATGAAGAGGTCATACAGATTACGTAAGGGAGACCCAAGGAGGTGTGATTTTGTGGAGGAAGGCAGCATTAGTGGAATGGTTTTCCCACAGCGGAGTAGCTAAGTCAAGCAGCATTAACTTTTTAAGCCAAAATTGAGTGTCTAGATGGAATTAAGCCAAGTAAATAATTTTGAACTATTTTTGCTCTTCGCCTTCTGTGGAGGTTAGGAAGAAACTTCGGCTCTCTTCCCTCGGGCTGAGAGGTCGGGTGTGTTTCAGGGACGAGCTCCGGGTGGTCCCGGGGAGGAAGAAGGCAGATGCACCCCCAGAGCAGCTCCTGGTGCAGGGCTGTGGTGTGCGGGGCTCCCAGGACCAGAGGGCCCTTTGCTCAGCCCTTGCTGATGGGCCAGGACCCTCTGAACCCTGATTTGGGGACAGTGCCCCCCGGCATCGAAACAAAAGCTGCCCGTGGGGTTTTGTCCGCAGACCGATCGCCCGGTTCGGATGAGATGCACGACCCGGTGCCCACGCACATGGCCTCGGAGGAGTCGAACTACGTCCTAGAAACGGTAGCAGGTACCAGAAATGAAGCATCCAGGAGACTGCGCGGGGACACGGGAGTTTGTGTGTGCGTCAGAAATGAGTAAATACCATTTATGAGCCAAGGTGATTGAGTCGGCACCCGCTTCCAGAGTCGTGGCCTCAATCAGGCCAGCTGGGAGCTCTGATAGACAAACTGGTGGCTTTTCCAGCACCGCCGCTCCTTCCCAGTCTCTCTCCAGTCCCAACTCGCTGCAAACCCCGGCTCCTCTGCCTGGCTCACGACTGGGATTTACCTGAGGGATTTGTGCCGCCGCTGCGGCTGCCCTCGCTCATGCCGAGTGCTGGGTCTTGCCTCTCCCAGGACGCCCACGCCGAAGGGCGGGCAGACCTCTTGGATGTAGGCGATGGGTTTGTTCTGCTTATGCAGCTCCTGGCATGATGCTGCCAGCCCGAGCCTGTGCTGGGGATGCGTGCTCAGGGCAAAGTGAGGGGAGGGGGCAGTTGGGTGACTGCAGGGGACCCGGAGACCTCCTGCTCATATCTGGTCCAGTTTTGCTGACACTGGCCATCACTAACCCTCCTCTTCCTCAGCAGGGACAGAGAAGGGGTCCAGCGAGGAGTCGCGACATGAGGAAAAGCAGATGGAGGGATCAGGTGAGTGTGGGATGAACCCTGAGCATCGCCTGATCGTTGCAAGTTTTTGGAGGGATGGATGAACACAGATGTATTTTGGGTTGGGTTTCCGGGGCTTCCTACCTTATCAGCAAAGCGTTCAGCCTCCAAAGAGCTCAGTGTGGAAGGACACTGCCGTGTTCTCGGGCTCTGTCCTCCCCTCTCTTGCCTGGATTTACTTTTTTCCCTGTCTTTTTCCTCCTTGCTGCTAGCACAGCTCTGTGGCAGGTGCATCGCTGCCCTTCCTCGCTCGGGGACGAGCTTGGAGGCAGCTGCCGGAGGACCGGCACCGATCTGGGAGGCATGAAGAGCGCGCGGCCGGCTCTGCCGGAGGTCAGGGGCTGCTCGCCTGCGTTGTGCGTTGCTTGCCCCAGAGGCAGCTGATTTCTCAGAGCATTTCTCTCTTTTTCTTTTTTTTCTTTTTTTCTTTTTTTTTTTTTTTTTGCAGATGGTATAGGGGATGTTTTAAGTCATTTGAGGAAACAAGTTGAAATTTTGTTCAACACAAGATACGGTAAGACGGTCATTAACACATGTTCATTATGCCGAGTGCCGGCCTCTGCCATGGGGAGCTCCTAATTGCTCAGAAATGTCACCTACCATTTCCAAACCAGCGGCTGAGTAAAGGTGCAATCTAATTTGTTCATTTGCTGTCTGCTGAGTTTACAAATGCATTTGAAATCTCCCCGGGCCTTGTTATTGCAGCTCTTCCCCTTGGTTTCCTCGATGCCTTTTTGCTGGCTGCAGCCCAGGAATTGCTGCCGTGACCTTCAGCCTTTCTCACGCGGAGGGAAGGACCAAAGTGTTTCCCCCCATCACTTGTTCGAAATATCAGAGAGGTTTTTCCACCCGAGGTGGTCATGGTGTGGCCCAGGAAGGCTGGCAGGACCCCAGCACCAGGGGCTGGCACTCGGCATGCTCTGCTCACCCCTTTTTAGAAAGGTTATTTAACCCAGAAAAAATACAAGTGAGGTCACACGTGCATTTTGAGAGCCGGCAGAAGGTTTTTTGCCCCTGGCAGGACCAGGAGACACGGCTCTGCCCAGCGGTCCCCGAAAGCCAGGGACAGAGCTGAGCTGCGGCCCCTGGGCCGGGAGAGCCCATCGTCACCGGGGGAAAGGAGAAGGGCCGGGATGCTCTCGGGCAGGGTTAGGCTCTGGGGATGCAGCTGCTTTGACCCGACGTGGAGGTCCAGCAAACTAACGCGAATTGGTCCCCACGCAGCGAAAGCCATAGGAATATCTGAGCCGGTCAAAGTTCCCTACTCCAAGTTCCTGATGTATCCCGAGGACCTGTTCGTTGTGGGCTTGCCGGAGGGCATCCTGCTGCGGCGCCCCAACTGCTTCGGGATTGCGAAGCTGAAGAAGATCCTGCAAGCGAGCAACAACATCCAGTTTGTCATTAAAAGGTAAGGCAGGTGGAGTGGCCGTCCCTTGGGGAGGATGTTCCTGCTCGGAGCTCCTGCTGCTGTGCAGTGTCCTGGGGAAGATCCATCACTTGGTCGCCTTCAATAAATTTGCTTGATTAGAAGCAAACCAGGGGCTGTTGCTTTATCAGAGCCATGCCCGAGAGGCAGCGGTGGTGGTGTCATCTCTCCCTCGATGTCTTTTGGGGTTTTAACCCACTTCTGCAAAGGTTTGGCCACAGCAGCAAGGAGCACCCAAGGGTGGGTGGGAGGAGCCAGAGCCTTTAACCTTCAGGGTGCTCGGGCATGGGGCAAGAAATGGGGCTGGGAGCCCTGGAGGGTTTTCTTGCGGGAAGCGGCTCCGGCCAAGGTCCAGATGTGCACATCTGTGCCTCAGCGGGATGCTGCGGGCATCAGGGAAGATGCTGTCGTTGCACAGGGGCGTAGGGTGTGTCACAGGAGCTGGGGGGGCTGTGAGAAGCCACGACCGATGTAACGCAACAGCATTGCCCTGAAAGAGGGAACGGATCTGGCAGAGATGGATTGAAAAATGTCTTTAGGTATTTTGGGGGGGTCCTCACCCAAATGCTGACTCTGCGTCCCTCTCAGAGGAGAGAGCTGGTGCAACCAACACGGTGGGCGGCTGAAACAGAAAATAAATGTTGGGAGCGCAGAGATTTTGTGGCATCGGACCAGCAGCTCCCAGGCCAACCTGACTGCGTTTTGGGGGTTCTCCTGTCCCCATCCCAGACCCCTTTCTCTGTAGCGCAGCTCATAACGAGCCCTGCTGTCGCCTCACTGTGTGATTTTAGCATTAGATACCCAAGTGACAATTTTGGGGGCCAATTGTATGTTGAAAGGAGCGGTGCACGGCTTCTCCCATCCCCGAGAAACGTGCAGGACCGTGTTTCCCAGATGTCTGTAACAGCTGATTTAAGCTGCTCAGCCATCTCCAGCTTAATCTCATCCTAAGGAGCATCACATTGGCTCACTAAAGAGTCTGTCAGCATGAAAATTACTTCCGAAGTTCCCCTGCTGCATTGCAGCTGCATTAGCCAGACACGGTTAGTGGTTTGGGGCTGTAGGAGCGTTGTCCTAGGGGATGTTGGAGCAGCGGGGTGTCGCTGGCCGGGGAGCTCGCTCATGTGCCCTCTGCTTCTCGCTGTTTTCCAGACCGGAGCTGCTGGCGGAGGGCGTAAAGGAGCCAGCGTCGGACAGCCCGGCAGCCAAAGGTAGGCTGCGAGACGCCCGGCAGCCGGGCCGTTAAGGACTAGGTAGGAGAGGAGTGAGAGCGTTTTCCTACAGCACGTCTCTTGCCTTCCCTCCCCACCTTGTTTTTTGGTTGGAAACCCCCTCCTGTGCGTCCCCCTTGGCGGCACCGCAAACCCTAATTCCTCTTACGTCCCCTGTCTCAGCCGCCAGCGAGAGGGACTCGAGCGAGGCGCTGCTGGAGGACGCTGTGAAGAGACAGGGCTTTCAAGGTGAGGGCCTGGAGGCATCTGGGGGAGGTTTGAGGCAGAGTCCCTGGCCTGTTGCAGGGGCTGCGTAGAGCAAACAGATGTGGGAAGGGAGCGGCTGCGGGGTGTCAGGGCTCGGTGGGTTGGCGGAGGAGCAAGGCAAGGCAAGGATGGGAGGGAGGAGAGGAGAGGAGAGGAGGAGGTGAGGTGAGAGAATGGGAAGGACAGACAACCAGAAGACAAGACGCACAGCCGCGGCGGGCAGTCCCGTAGGTCCAAGAGCCTCGAAGCGCTCTGGATGGTGCCCTAATTAACCAGCTTTGCTTATCTCGCCGTCTGACCTTGCGGGATGCATAATTACGTCTTCCAAGCCTCAGAGTTGGCCTTTTCTGGGGCTTTTTCCACCCAGGCGATGTTTGCATAAACACCGCTCCCATCTGGCACATAGTGGCAGCCGGCACGGCAGCTCCGTCAGGGAAAGGAGCGATGGTGAGAAGCCTGTGGGCTGGGGGGGGCAAGTGCTGCCCTGCTTCAGCATCCCTTTTCCTCGGGCCACAGGGGCCTGCGAGGGTTTGCAGAGAGGGATGGAGGCTTTTCAAAGGCTTTGGCTTTTCAGAGAGGCTTTGGAGCGCGTTTTATTTTAACGCCGGTAATTATCACAACTGAATCTTCGATTTCATGCGGCTTTTATTCTTAGCAAACAGGCGGGGGAAAAAAAACATATTTCTGTTTAGATTATTTTTAAGGACTTTGAATGGCCCACTCCAGAGATTAGCTAATTGCAAGATAAGGACTTTCCTATAATTAGAAAATGGCATTACTTAAAAGTCACAGAGTGCCTTTTAATTTACCAGCAGAAGTCCATAATTGTTTCTTTATTTTACAGAAAATTATGATGCCAGGCTTTCTAGAATAGACATCGCTAACACGCTGCGGGAACAAGTCCAGGACCTGTTCAATAAGAAATACGGTGAGAAACCAGGGTGGGAGTTGGTTTTATTCCCTCCTTATCCCCTCCTAATTTTTTGCTCCCTATCCCTCCCCTCTCCTCCCAACTCCCCCTTGCCAGGTGCTTTCTCTCGCCTCCCCCTTGAGCAGCTGGCACCTTGGAGGGCCAGGGAGGGAACAGTGGGTCTGGGAATTGGTGCTCTTTGCTGCAGGCGCTTGCTGCCTAGGCGGCTCCCACGCAGCACGGGGGAGCCCGTGATGGGGAGCGTGCTGCCTGCCCTTCCCGCTGCCTGCCCTTCCCGCTGCCTGCCCTTCCCGGCCACGTTTTGGTGGGTTTTTTTCTTTTAACCCCACCTCCATGAAGAACAAGGATAGTAAATTCATTAGCGGAGAATTGCGGAGCTGGGGGTGGCGGGAGGTTGGGAAAGGAATAAGGAGGGGCCGTAGCAAGCACTTGCAGGAGCGTTGGGGGACGAGTAGATGCCGCTCCTCCTGTCCCCAGGGCACCTACCCGGGCTCTGCAGGGCACTCCCATGGCCTGCCTGCCCCAGCGTCTGTTCTTTATCAAGCAAGGCAGGGAAATGCTGTTATCCTCATTTTCTAGGCAGCGGTAAGACTTGTGCAGGTTCCCGGGTACCCACAGGAGCAATTATTTGCAAGGAAATGTGTAGCCTCGGTCCTGCAGCCAGACCTCAGCGAGGGAACATGCCTATGGAGTTATCTCCAAATAATGTCCCGAAGCAAAGAGCAGCGGCTTTCTATCCCTCCCACCGCTCTGCTGCACACTCACGGCTGCCTTGGGACCCCTCCGCTCCCATCGTGGAGGTGGCCTGAAAATGTTGGTCCTTGATCTAACGCTTGACGTGGTGCCTCGAGCAGCCCGCTCGCGCTCTGCCGTGCTTTGGCGGGGTCAGGGATGGAGCTGGAGCCGCGGTAGAAATCGCATCCCTGGTGTCCCACTCGCTTACCGCTTGCTTACCACTCATTTCTCTCCCAGGTGAGGCCTTGGGGATTAAATACCCTGTGCAAGTGCCATACAAGCGGATCAAGAGCAATCCGGGGTCGGTGATTATAGAGGGGCTGCCCCCCGGGATCCCCTTCAGGAAGCCGTGCACCTTCGGCTCACAGAACCTGGAGAGGATATTGGCCGTTGCCGATAAAATCAAGTTCACCGTGACGAGGTACGTGGCGAGAGGTAGCAGCCACCCTGCCGAGCAGGAGGGGGAGAGGAGGGAGCTCACTTAAATGCACCCCCAGCTCTGCCAGCCCCATCGGGGCAGGGCTGTAAATACTATAAATGCCTCCAGCCCCCGAGACAGCTATTAAGTTGGCAGTTAACATTGCCAGAATGGTTTGGAGGGGACTGTAAAATAGAGACTCGTGCTCTTTTCTCCTGTCTGCTGCCTGGGGAGGCTGTGGGGAAGGCGCTGGCAGGAGAAAACGGTGCTCGGTGGTTGTGTGGGCAGAGAAATCCCAGCCCCTTTTCTAGGAGTCTTGAAATAGGAGAAACATTGCTTGGTTTATTGCTGGTGAAAGGCAGTGCTCAGGGTCCCGCAGCGCTTGCAGGGGCGCCGGGCACTAGCCACTTGCCAGGGGGTCCTGCGGGTTTTGCAGCCAAAGGGGATGGATGCAAGCGGGAGGGGAAAGGCACTTTATCACTGTAAGGTGAGACTGGGAAAAACAGAGGCTTTAAGTGTGGCTCCATCACCTCTCGCTGGGCCATGTTGCCCGTCTTCTTACTGACACAGTGCATGCTGCCCCAAGCAGGGCGTGTGTCCCCACAGGGACCCCATCCCCGCAGAGCTCCTGCCGGTCCCGCGCGAGTCGTGGCACAGCGTGCGAAGGACAGGCTGATCCCTGACCCTCCCTGGGCTGCGGGAGGATGCTCAGGCCAGGCGTGTTGCCTTCCCAGTGGCGTTTCATTTTATATCTCCTTGTTTCCTTCTTTTTTACAGGCCTTTTCAAGGACTTATCCCCAAACCCGGTAAGAGATGATGCCTTTTTGCCTGCGCAATGCATTGGCCAAGTGTTTAGTGGTGGTCAGGGGGTTGTAAGCTGTGGATGGCGCGCAATAATTTTATCAGCTGAAGGAAGGTTGCCCCTGACTTCACTTTCCTGGGCTTCCCACTTTGGTTTTGTTGTTGTTCGGTGCATTTGCTGAAGTTCCCCTGACCGAGACAGCTGGCCTCAGTGGCACCCGTTGGTGCTGCTGCTGTTGCCTTGAAATGACGGCATTTTTCAAGAGCTAATCTAGGGCAGGGATCTGCGTTGTTTTTAGGAAAGCACCTTTCTTCAGCTTTTTCTTAAAATAAATAAGCGTTGCAATGAGCTGGCAGGTTCAGTGGCGAGGGAGGATCATGGGAAGGGGGTGATTAACCGCAGGGTCCGCATCGGGCTGCAGCAGCACGGCAGTGAAAGCCCTCGCTGGCTCGTGAGCATCCTGCATGTGGAAACACTGGGGGAGACATGAGAGAGGGGAGGATGGGGTGTCCTGGGTGTGCTCCGTACCCAGTGGCAGAAATCACCATCCCGGAGCCGCGTTCTTCCCCGTGCATCGCTGCGGTAGCTCTGTCTCTCGCTTCTAGGCTGCCCAGAAAAGAGAGCTGCTGTCAGAAACGTGGGTAAAAACCTGTCTTGGTTTTAAATGTCTGTAATTACAACTGTTGGGAGAGCACAGATGGGTGCAAAAAACGTTGTCGTCTTTATTGATGGCTTCCCGTTCCCTTGGCCAGCCTCCACGGGGATGGCACAATTTGGGGAAGACAAATATGACAGAGAGGAAAACATTTATATGTCCTTACTAGAACAGCAAAAAGGTGTTAGACACCCGAGAGGACTCTAACAAATGACAAGCTGTCTGGGAAATTCTATCCAGGGCATGGTCCGAGTGTCGACCCTCTGCATCCCCGTGTATGGCCCAGCCAAGTCGCTGGGGAGGTCCCCCGAGACCTCTGCGGACTTTGGGTTTAGACTTCCTACCTGTTGGGCCTAAGCAGCAAGGTGCCAGCTCGTATCGGCTGGACCTTAAACGAGCCCTCGGTGAAATGCAGGTTTTGCAGAACTCTGGTTTTCCACGGAATTACATGATGTAACGCCGGAGTGAGCCGGGGATGTATATCTGCTCCTCCAGCCACATCTTGTCTTCCCGTTCCTCCGCCGTAATCGGTATAATTACGTTAAGAGACGCTGATCTGACACAAATCACACCATTAACAAAGGAGCACATCAGAAGGCAAATACTTCAACCTGCCAGCTGGCTTGGAAACGCAGCCTGATAAATAGAGATGTAGCGGAAATTGATTTTCTTTTCGATGCACAACTTTTTTCTTTTTTTTTTTTTTTTTCCCTTCCTTCTCCAGCTGAACGCTCCCACCACGGGCTGGCCCATGCTAGCACAAACCCAAAGGCATATTTTATTCCGTGTATTGTGGTACCCAAGTGGGCTCGGGAGGAGTCGCGGCATCCCTGCCGGGCTTGGGGCTCATGCCCTCTCCTCCCACGGGGGTTTTAAATAAGAGCAGTCGCAGATGAGGGGTTTTTCTTACTTGGCAACTCAATTTGTTATAGGCTATTTCATATATTTGCTAAATCTTCAGAGACGGTTCCAGGACTTATAATTATTTTCTAGTAGTCAGACTACCACCAGCATGTCTCCTTGAGAAAAAGGCTATTTGTATTTTGCCCCCCCAAAATCCCTGTTGACAGCAATTAACCTCTCGTCTGCTTTTCCACCCCATTACACTGAAGTGGATGGTGGCAACACAGTGGTACACGCGCTGCCTCGGCTTTGATCGCTTTTCATCTGCCTTAACAAAATTAATGATTTCCAACTAGCCATAGATCATTAAAAATTTAAATTTAAGAGTGTTCTTTTCACCTCAATCTTGTGTAGTAAAGTCCTGCCATGTAAAATGAAGAGCAGCAGCAGAAGTGCGTCCTTGGCGTTAAAACAAAATCAATGAAAATCACTTTTATTTCGTAGAGGAGCGTTAAAATGAAAGCAATAGTTACTCCCAAGCAGGATGGCATTGCAAGGGCGTCTAAAAGCTGGAAAGCCCAGGAGAGAGAACTGTAGAAATATAAGGGAGGTTGTGTTTTTTGTGGATCATTTTGGCCATGAAAAATATACATTTTAAGGGAAAAGGGAGGTTTAACATAAGCATTTTTTTTAATTATTATTTTGGAGTGATTTTAGTTGCCTTCAGGTTGAATTACGGCGTTTAATTTGCTTTAAACAAGTTGTGCCCCTCCTGCATTGTAAAGAGCATCCCAGATAACTGCAGGACCGCAGAGGACCGGCCTCCTTATCTCTCTCTTTTGGGGACACCCATTTTTTAAGTGTGACAGAAACAGATAAAAGGATTTCAATACAATCTGAGCGCCAAGCGTGCTTTTTCTCAAGATTATCTGTAATTTCTCTGTCGAGATGGTATCTTCCCCCCCTAATGGGTCGCAGTGGCGGGGGGTGAGGCTGCCGGCGCGGAGGCGGCTGGGGGGTGCGTGCCTGCAGGGAGGCTGTTAGCAGAAGGTGGTGGGGATGAGGCTGGTTTTTGGAAGGGTAAAGCCGGCGGCGCTCCCCAGTGCCCGGAGGAGGTCAGAGGCTGCAACCCCCTTCTGCAGTGCGGCTTTGCAGCCTTTCGGAGGTAGGATGATGGCCCCGAGGTCACCGGTGCCTCTGCCAGCACTTTACCCGCGTGGCTCCCCGGGGGCTGTAATCCAGGAGCACGGCCCTCCTGGTGTCCTGAGATTTTCCTTCTGATTTCCAATTTTTTTTTTTTTCTCCCCACCGCTGGTATCCGCTCTGCGAAATAGACCTTCAAAACCCCTTTTTCAAAGCAGAACGATCTCTCGGCATTAAAACAGAAGTGGCAGAGCAGGGGTAAAGCTCCAGCGCTACAAACACAGCACTTATCCTTTCTTTTCTTCTTTTCCTGAGGCAGAGAGATACAAAACAGGCTTAATTTGAGCCTTTGAAAAAAAAAAAAAAATAGCAAGCATAAGTAATCTAGCACATAAAAAAAAATTCTTTCTGTATGTTAATTTTTATGTGCTTTGATTGAAAATGTACACCAGCTCCATCTGTCCTATTCCCCAAACTCCCTACCACCCTGATAGATTATTTCCCATACTCCAATTAATAAAGTAGGGCAGGCAGTGTTCTTTAATTAAAAAAAAACGCACATCCAGGCATCCTTTTTATTTTACTGTATTTTTTTTTTTAATCACGAGAGCACAATCCTCCGCAAGACTCTGACGAGATGTGCCTTGCGTTGGAAACTCCCAGCAAGAAAAAAAGAAAAGAGGAAGGCACTTGCTGGGGCGGTGATGAGAGCTGAACGCACCTTGCTCCCTCACCAAGTTGCTTTTCGAGGTCCGTGCCCCTCTCCCTTCACCCCCCAGCCCCGACATTTAGCCCCCGCAGGAGCAGCCGGGTTATTTTTCCTTCTGATCCGCCTTGCTGTTATCCAGGGTGAATTATTTTTTAGTGTTCAGCTGGTTCGTGTTTTTAGTCTGAAGGTGGAAAATCAAGCAGGTAGTGTGAGTAGCTGTGGAGCTTCAAAGCCTGTTTTTAAGCACCTCCGCGATTCAAATCACCTTTTTCTTTGCCTATTATTTGTCTTCTTTTCCCTTTTGCCTGCGTGTGTGGCATCCTTGCACCGGCGGGAAGGCAGCGCCATCACCCAGCTCATCCCAGCCCTCGTGTTTGCTTTGGTCTTGCCTCCCTCCCGCTCCCCGCCAGCCTCATATCCTGACGTGTCCTTCGGAGACCCCCAAACCCCCTTTTTTCAGGGTGCTCATCGAGTTGGGTGCCGCTCCATCCCAGCTGTGGTCCAGCACTTAGGGATGCGCTCCGTACCACGTAGCGCAGCGGCTGTGAGCCTGGTGGGATGCCTCCCGTGGTTGAGGCTGAGCAGCACATGGGGGTTACCAGGACAAGAAATTTTAATTATCTTTCTTAATCAGTGTGATTTCAAAACAGCATCTTGAAATCTTCACCTGACACGCTGAAAATGCCTTTGAGTTGCTGCCAACCAAGTGAAACGCCGTGCTGCCCTTCCGAAACAGTTTCTGATTCGTAACGGAAAGATGCTGCTGCACGCTTCTCTTCCCGGCTGCCTGCCAGCGCTCCTGCCTGCCTGCAGCCTGCCTGCGCTCCTGCCCCTGCTCCTGCCTGCATTCCTCCTTGACGGGAGCTATGCCAGGATCTTGTTCCCTCTTGGCTTGGACTCTAGCTTGGCTTTCCCAGCTCCGGCGTGACCCATCTGCATCTCTTCCCCCTTCGCGTTGCGTATACGCCTGCACATTTTGTGTGGTGGGTGCTGCCCGCAGGGTGTCCGCACGGGCAGGGTGTCACCCAGCGATTCGGGGGACCAGGCGACGGGCAGCATCTCTTATTTTCCAGCTGGGTTCCGCTGCGTGGCAGCGGAGGGGGGGTCGGGGGCGCCCAGCCGCTTATGGCAGGATTTGTCCACCTGCAGCCCAGGCGGTGCAGGATCCGGCTCAGCTCCTCGGCTCACCGTGGTCTGCACCGAAATGTCGGCGTCTGCAGCTGCCCTGTGCAAAACCCGCCATTTCTGTTCCTTTGGTGCCGCTGAACTGAAG